AGCTCTCCACCAAGGAGCTCGTCACCAAGTAGCTCACCACCAAGGAGCTCGTCACCAGGTAGCTCTCCACCAGGGAGCTCGTCACCAGGTAGCTCACCACCAGGGAGCTCGCCACCAAGTAGCTCATCACCAGGCAGTTCACCACCAGGAAGCTCCACCATCCTCTCCTAGGAGCAGGTCAAATGACAAGGTACTTAGCCAAAAAATAAAAAATTGGTACGTGACCAGAAACAGATACATCACTTCTCTTGTAGCATGTTATAGTACTGCAAAGAACATTCACTATTACCCTTGAACCAGCCAGTATAACCATCCTGAAGTCTCTCAACCAAGATAGCGTTCAACTTTGGAACCCCAAGGCTGAGATTGATTCGTAAAATAGGGAGGGAATAAAATGCAATATTCTCAAATAATCGTTCCTTCCCATGTTTGGTTTGTGAGATGTCAAAAGATGGGATGAAAAAAGGCTTGCATTGCAAGTTCTCAATTCTTAGGATGTAGAAACACACCATTTTGGTGTGAAAAAATGGGAAAAGAGGGGGAGGAGACTTGTCTAACATAAACAAAATGTACCTTCCTTGCTTTCTTTTAAGACCAATGGAACCACTTTTCTATCTAGGTGACAGGTTGGTGGTTCAACCAGTTGATCAAATGAATTAACCCATGATTACACAATTAAGTAATAAAAATATAATAACTAGTTGAAATACAAAAAAAAAAGCTGAAAAATTCCCAAAAAAAATTGGCATATCTCTAATATTGTATATTCATTATACTAGTCAAAAAAAAGTTTGATGAATAAGCATTATTGTTTATTAATGATAAAAAGGACAATAATTCAAAAAAACAAAAAAAAAGAGTTCATATTTGATCTGTGACCTGCTGACCAGATCAAATGCTTTAATGGTTCAACCAGTTGGGTCATATGGGTTAACACATGATGTCATAACTAAATTATAAAAGTATAATAAATAGATAAAAATAAGTTCATAGAAAATCAATGTTTAAAAAGCGCAAGGCACAAAAAAGGCACAGGGGCCAATTTGCGCTCAGGGCACAAGGTGAGGCATGTGCCTTTTTGAAGCATGACACAACAATACAACAAAAAAAAGCTAAAAATTTATAAAAAAAGTCAAAAAATTCAAAAAAAGGCCAAAAAAATAAAATATATATATATTAAACATAATATAAACTAAAATTTTAAAATAAATGTTTTAAAAAACCCATTATATAAAATAAAAATACATATACATAACATGTAAAGTGTATTTGAATGAAAATTTAAAAATAAAATCAAGTATATAAAACATTTTTAAGCATGTAAAATCCACAATCTCATTTTTTTCCTCAATTGCATTACTTCAAGTAGCTAATGTGATGTAAAACATATTACACTCCTGATTCTACGAGCTGCCTTTGTGCCATGTCCCTCGAGACAAGCCCAAACAAGTCCATGTTAGGGTCTTAAATTCTTAGTTCTCACACACAAAAAAATGATTTCATAATTTTAATTGCTTTTTAAGAAAATATTTTATTAGGATGAATGAATGAACGACATTAGCAAATAGGGGGTTCTTGGAGCTTCAGTGAGTGAGCAAATGCCTAGGTTGAGGCGCAAGGTCCTTCAAGGCCTATAGCGAGGCGCATAAATTGGACTCCATCATATTAAACAAAAGTGTGATTAACAAGAACAGATTTATTAATTATGAAAGTTGATAGAACTACAAAACAAAGTAGAAAAAAGAATTAATATCTGAACCCTGACCCACTAACAAGGTGTTAAAAGTGAAACTTGCAATAGGAGAAAATGGGCTTGGTTACCCATGAAATCTAATAATTTTAAGGCTGATTAAATCCAAGTTTAGGGGCTAGTAGGCTAACTAGAGCCCATTTGGACCAAAGAGGAGATCTACACCGGGTATCCCTCTCTTTAAGTAGGAAGCCAGGTGTCTTTCACCTATAGAGAATAATAGTTATACAACTACCCAAATCCCAATTTAAATTCTTGGAGAGGCTTCAGCCCTCTCCTACTTCGAAGAAAAGATCTCTTAGACAACCACACTCTTAAAGAGTCTTAAGGAAGTCCATAGTGATAGAGAAGAAGAAAAGTAATCTCATGGAAAAAAAAAAATAGAAATCAAAGGGAGGAGAAAAATAAAATACTACTATCAAAGGTGGATGAAGGGAAGTCTTCTCAGCAAATACCTCCTACAAATATCTCCCGTTTGATGTTGTCTTCTTCTCTTTCTATCTTTGATCAGTCTCCAAATTTTACTCGCAAGAAAGGAAGTAAATAATGAAAACCAACTACAATCAAGTGGTTCTATTGGATGCTCATGATTTCTCTATCAAAGCATGCTAGGATTAAACCATCTACAGCCTTGTTCATGAAACTCAGATGATTATGGTTCTCTACACCATAAAATGTTGATTCTATAAAGTGATAAAACCCATCTACAACATTGCTTATGAAACTGGCTGATTATGATTATACTTATTATGGTTCCCTACACCATAAAATGTTGATTCTATTAAGTGATAAAACCCATCTACAACATTGCTTATGAAACTGG